GCCTCAGAAAGATACTAGGATGTTATCTAGCAGTGCAACAAGGAGCATAATTTGTATGCGCAAGGGTAGAACGCTACAATCTCATTAACTCTTATTACGGTCTCACAAATCGCTTGCAATATACTACCATTTTGGGTGAATACTTCTCCTAAAAATTTAAACTTGGATAGAAATGAATGGATGCAAAATACTAACTAGGTGCCAGTGCGCCAGAGACAGTATAAGGTTTGGTCCCAACGGTGGGTGGCGGGAAAAATGCGTAAGGCGTTGGTGCTGCTGAATATTGATGTTTGATGGCGTCCAAATGCTCATGAACATCAGCCGAGCCCAGCCTAGGTTCGAGACTTTGGTGATGGTGCAGTTGCTGCTGCAAGTGAGTGAGATTTCCACGCTGTTTTTTGGCGCAGCGGCGTTTTCGAGTTTGAATTGAGTCCTTTCGCATTGCCATTGGCCGCTGACACTAAAATTTTTTTTTGCATTGCACAATTTGAGTTATTTTTCAGTTTACCATTGACTACTACAATAAATCTATCAATAAAAATGCGTTCAATTATAAAATGGACCTAAATTTTCCCTATCGCTACAGCTTGTATTGTGGCCAACTTTGGTAATTGTCCAAACAAAACCTCTAAACTAATCATAAAGGGATAGACGATGGAAAGCTTAAGGATGACAGCTGCCTTGAGCGACTAAATTTATGTTTTTGCTTTGCAAATCTCCTTAAAAGCAAACTACAAATGATAGTGTTTAAACACTTATAAACGATGTATGGCACCAAGACTTCAAAGTAATGTTTTGCAGGAACTTTTTTCTTATTGGACAGAAATCTATGCTTTCTTTTCAAATCAAATGTGGTTGCTAGTCTTCAAGCAAATAACAATAAAGGCGTTTTCAATTTGGGTAAACCCCAGATGCCAAATCGCGGCACAAAGTAAAGGCTGCTCCTGTGCCATTATAATAAGCCCAGCTACACTTAGGACATCAACGAACTAATCTCAGCCGCATAAGATTACTCCCAGACAGTGCCGGTATATCCGGATCATATCACATTTCAAAACTGTTTTGCTTTTTTAGTTTCTTGTTTGCCGCTTTAGGAGAGTATCGAGATTTAGTTGGTGGAGCAGAATGCTGAACTGAAAGTAAGTAGGATTTAGCACAACTTCTGCCTACGGCTACTGGATCTCGGAGGAACAGAAAAGTTTTATTCTGTAGAGGGAAGAACTTGTGACGCTTTGTGATAAAAGAGCTAAAAATGATGTCTGTCTAAGGCAAATACCTCACTTTTATGGTTGACACTGAAGCAAATCCAAAAACAATTCGAACAGTTTTGCAAAATTGTCGCATGCGCATGCATTAAGGTCCCATTAAAAGATAAACATGATGTGTTCCCATTGCTCAAATAGCTAAATGAGTCTAAAGTGGATGTACATCCAGGAATAACGTAAAGATGGTAACCTTTTCTTTACCTAATCTTGCTTTTATGGCAGCTGCCAACGTTTATGAGTCCTTAGAATCAATTCTGCGCAAGGCAAACTTCAAATCCAGTGAAATTGGCGAATGAGATCAGGGAAGTTGCAAACGAGCACTACTTTAGAAACGTGGAATTTTAATTACTGCTAGGGTGAGTTCGTGATTAGGTAAGCACAGCTAAGGCAGTAGATGGGGATGTAATGCATTGATTACGATGACTATCAAAAGGCGATGAGTTGTGTA